ATCCCTGATTTTAAACTATTCAGTATTCCCTTGTTCTTTTCCAATGACTGCCTCATGATCTATGTACAGGTTCCTCGGGAGCACAGTTAAGTGTTCTGGAATACCCATTCTCCACAATGTTATCCATAGCTTGGCATGATCCACACAGTCCAAAGTCTTTACAGCATCAATAAAGCACAAGCAAACATCTTTCTGATATTCTCTGCGTTCAGCCAAGATCCACCTGACATCGGCAGTGTTTTGAGGTTCATTCATGCTGTAGCATGTGTCAGAACTTCATTCTTTATGGTGGAATGATATCCCATTGTCACATTTTGTTTATCCATTGATAGTATTTGGATGGTTTCCACTTTTTGCCTGTTGTGAATAATACTGCTGTGAACACCTGTGTACAAGTTTTTGTGTGAACATAAGTATTTATTGCTACATTTCACTCCATTCTTACACCATACCCTAGATTATATCTGATCTTACTCAGCATTTGTTTTAGGCCCAGTCTCCACAGTGAGCCAGATGTCTGGGAGTGTGTGCAGTTTAGGATTCAGGAACTAAAAGCTGAAGGAAGCAGGGGGAGCTGCTAAAGCAGCAAAGAGGGAGTCTGTGGGGTGAGGACAGAAGGCACCTGGCAGGTAGACAGCATGTGCAAAGGCCCTGAGGTTGGGGCATTGGTGGGGAGGAATGAGATTCTGCAAGGGCATTGTGGCTGTGATCTACACAGTGGCTCAGAGCATGGGATGATGTCCTTCTGAGACCACCTCTTAGCTATACTCAGAGGCAACAGGATCTCATGACCTGAGCTGCTGGATAGACTTTTGCCTTGCTCTGAGGTGGGCACTCTGGAAGGGTAGGCCTTGAAGTGATAGGTTCTAGGTGCCTGGAGAACCTATCTGGAGGCGTGTGGCAGGGATGGGGGGTGGGGGTAGCCCGAGCTCATCCTCTGGGCTGACTGAAGTGAAGGCAAGGCAAATCGGTAAATTCAGGAGCCATCCACGGTTCCTTGGAAGGATTTCTAAAGCCTTCTAAAGTGGACCGTTTCCACGCAGCACACCTCCGGGTTCACTGACCCAGCTGCAGGTGATTGGGGTGTGGAAGCCTTCACCCCTCACAGTACCCTGAAAAACGACTAATAATGCCTTCAAAGGGCCCAGGTGGTTGGCTGGGGGAGCTGCAGAAAGGGCTTCACAGGTGTAAGGATTGCGCAAAGCCACAATGCAGTGGAATGCCCGGATGAGACCTGGGGAGGGGGTGGCCCAAGCCAAGGTATGTGGTGCCAGCGATGGTGAAGGCAGCAGTGACGGTAGCAAAGTGCGCAAAGGCGTGAGTCAGGGGGTATGTGGCGGAGGTCGGGGAACAGCGACAGGTGTAGCTGTGTGGGCGCCCAAGTGGGGTGACCGGATATTTGAATACGTGCCCGGCCAGCCGGCGGTTGGGGATGTGCATTTCTAGTTGGAGCGCTTCCCTCGGCCGCGCTTCGGGCGTCCCTTTTATCTGGCTGGAACCTCCACATTCCCGGGCCCGCGCCCTGGGGTTACCCTCGGCCTCCATGCTCCATGCACGCCTCGAGGCGTCCAGTCAGGGAAGGCCGAGTCCGCCAGGGCCCACGGGCGCCACCGTCCGGCCGCACCTGCCCGCGCCTCGGCCAGGAGCACAGGGGTCCCGGCCCCAAGGGTGGTCTCTGAAGGCAGCGCGGGGCGTGGGAAAATGACCCCCAAGGCTCCACTGGGAGGTCCTGGCTGACTTCGTTTCCGGCGAAAGCATGCCTCTCGATTGTTGTTGTTAGGTGCCATCGAGTCGGTACCGACCCATAGCGACTTTATGCACAGCAGAACGAAACACTGCCCGATCCTGGGCCAACCTCACTACAGTCGTCACGCTTGAGTCCATCATGGCAATAAAACTGATATCGCAACCCCTCTCTCGGCTTCAGTTTCCAGGTCGGTGCGTAGCAGTTAGGCATCCTCGGTGGCAAAGAGCAGGCTTTGCGCCAGCGTTCGCGTCCCCTTTAAGATAAACTTGCTGCGCCCTCCCGCTTCCTTTTTCTCGCGCGTCTCCAGCCAAACTGCCCCGCCCCGCCCCGCCGGGAGCGCGCCTACGTCACCGCTCTGACCTCGGCTCCACCCTCGTGCCCGCGCCGCCTAGCCAGGGCAAACCAATAGCTGCCGAGCTGGAAGACACGTGATAGGAGGCTGGCGGGAGGGGTTCCCCCGGAAGGGGTGTGTGGTGCGTTATGTGCCGTAGCCGTTGCGTTGACTCCTGCCCTCGTCGCTTGGTCCAGCGCGAGCCAGTAGCTACAGTGCTCTAGATCACGTGATGTGAAAAGGCGGAGTCTCTGACGGAAGGGGCGGGGTGAAGGCGGGAGCGGCTGCGATCAGCGGTAAGTGTCACCTGCGTTGCTCTGACTGGGCGAGGAGAGTGCGGCGTCCGGGCCCTCAGGGTCACTATGCAGGGCCGGGGTCTGGGCGGCGGGTACAACGCGGGGTATTGAACAGCGGGACAGGGTCAGAGGACGACCCCAGGGCGCTCGTCACCCGAGGAGATCTGCGTGGATTGCTGCGCCCGGGTCGGAGGTCGACACTGGAGGCGCGGAGTTCGCGTAGTGAGGTTCCGTTTTCACGGAAAACAAACGTCACTCTTGGGAAGTCTTTGGCTCCCCAAATGTGGGACGTGTCCCCACCTCTCCCAGAGGGAAGGGAGAGGACTACGGCCCTGGCGGGGGTCCAGAGGGGCCTGGATGTGTTCCGGGGGCCGGTGGGAGAGCCTGGGGCCAGGGGTGCCCCTGGGGCTGGTGTCATCCCCCGCCCCCCCCGGGGCTTCCTCCCATACCCGGCCATTCTACGGGGCCATTCAGAATTCTTAGCAACACTGTGATCGATTTGATTCACACAACAATCTGTGATACAAATTGTTGTTAAGTGCCATCGAGTCGGTTCCGACCCATATCGACCCTGTATAGGGTTTCCTAGGAACAGCTGGTGAGCTTGAACCGCCAACCTTGCGGTTCAAAGGCTTTGCAGTCTGGCGAATTAACCCACAGCGCCACACGAGGACTCCACAATACAAATGTTAAGTGCTGTCGTGTCGGTTCTGACCCATAGTGATCCTGTACAGGGTTTCCGAGGCTGTAAATCTTTATGGGAAAAGAAAGCCTCATCTTTCTCCCGCGGAGCGGCTGGTAGTTTCGAACTGCTGACCTTAAGGATCGTAGCCCGATTTGTAATCAGTACGCTACCAGAGCCCCTTCCACAGTACAAATTGTTGTTGTTAAGTGCTGTCGAGTTGGTTCCGACCCATAGCGACCCTGTATAGGGTTTCCGAGGCTGTAAATCTTTACGGGAGCAGAAAGCCTCATCTTTCTCCCGCTTGAGCAGCTAGTAGTTTCTAACCACTTACCTTGCAGTTCGCAGCCCGATTCGTAACCACTACGCTACCAGAGCTCCTTAGCTTACACTTAATTCCAGGAGGCTTCAGGAAGTTTGTGGGAAAATTCCATTATCTTTTCATTCCACTTTTCCACCAAATTTTTGAAGACCCGTTGTATTTCTTAGATTATATGAATAGTAACAAAATAAGACACCCTGACAAAATAAAGCACGCTGGCAGTGCTGTGGGTTAAGTGTTGAGCTGGTAACCTTAAGGCTGGGGGTTCAAACCCACCAGCCGTTCTGCTGGAGAAAGATGAAGCTGCCTGTGTTCCCAGATTCAGAAACCCTATGGAGGTTTTCGGTTCCATTCTGTGTAGGGTAACTGAATCAGAAATTCCAGGGCAGAGGATTTACTTTTTTTTTAAACAATGAAATTGTCACATAAAATTCTTGTAGTTTGAATTGCAACATTATTTGTTACTACATTACTAGTAACTGAGCTGAAGACTTTGATTTGTCTCCTTTTTGTTACTACGTCAGTCTCAAAAAAAGGTCATTGGTGTAGGGTCACGGATGTTAATTACCACAACATTGTAGCTAAAACACTAGCAAAGAAGACAAGATCAGAGACTATATATATAAAAAAACCAAAACCCACTGGCAGCAATGAAAAGAACACAGGTGCTTGTAAGCTGGTTTGCAGATAAAACAATGTGATAAAAACCATGAGTGGGTAATTATAATGACAGGGAACTTAGTAGAAGGTTCAAAAAGTAAATTAGCATGTTGTTTTAAGCCTTTTGGATGTGCTGATACATGTAAATAGGGCTTACAGAAAATGTTTTTGTTGTAACTAGCTGCAGGGATATTTGTATAAAAAAATAGCACATTTGTGCAGAAACACTGCATAGACTAGACCATCCTTTTGACCCCGTCACCCAGTGTGGTCTGCACCCCTTTCACTTCCCCTGTCCTTTCTGTTTGGGGGAGACTTCAATCAGGTGGGCTTTGGGAAGGTCAGGGAGCCCTCTGGGTCTGCAGGTACCTACACAAGCCTCTCTGTGGTTCCCCCTTTCACCCCAGGAAGCTCAACTCTATAGCCAGTGTTCCACGCTGCCCCAATCTCCTTCTTTGCTCTTTCCATTTCTTTGGCCTCAATTCTTGGCCTTGCCCCCTGCAGTGCCTGGCCCTACTTACCGCTGATACCCTGTATCGCTTGTCTCCGTCTGCACCCAATGCCTTCGTCTGGGCTTCTTATAAACCGACTGCCTCTTGCCCTCAGCAGCCCTTCCAGGGGCGGTCCTGTGGAATGTGGTATCACCAGCGGGAAGAGAACCGTGGTCACGTAAATATGACGTTGACAGTGGTACTTGTCCCTGGAACGTGCTACATGCATTGCCAGACCCCAGGAGCAACTATAGCATCTCCTGACGCTATCTGTTTCCTAATGATCACCCACAGGCCTTGTGGGCTCACTGTGAATTGTTCTGTTTCCCAGGCGGTCATCTCAGAGCGGGGTGGTCTCAGCACTGCAGTCTCACTTCTCCTGGGACGCCTGGCATCGATGGAGTCCAGGAAACGTGTGTCAATCAAACGGTGACCAGTAAGGACCTGGGCTGTAGACAGATAGCATCTCTGCGGTACACGTGTCTAGACATGGATCAAAGGCTTTCAGTGCTGGTGGAAGATCTCACGACATCAGGAGAGCCCCAGCTGGATCCTGAGAAAATGAAGGAACTGAAGAAAATTTGCAAGTATGTGCCAGGCACAGCATTTCCTGGTGACTGACTGGAACTGAGTGGGAGATGGACCTTCCCCTGGGGTCTGGCCTTCCGCCCAGCTGCAAGTATGCCAGCTGTCCCCTGCCTGTCCCTGCAGGTACTTTGTCCTGAGAAAGAGCAAAGGCAGAAACACACAGGCCTAGGTCCTTTCCCCAAGGCACCGAGGGCCAGATCCCACGACGAGCAGTCCCCAGGGCAGGGCCAGGAGGACACACTAGGACCCTGGACTTGGTATTCCTGTACCTAGCTCTGTGTGTGCGTGTGGTATTGTGCATCATCGCTGAGCTTGTGTGCACACATATGTGATTTCTAGATAAGTGCGCATCTTGTTCTTTGCTAGGAATATGTGTTGGCAAGGGTTAGAGGTCACAGCAAGAGTTGCTCATTGGCTCGGCAGCTCCTGTCTCGCTTTAGACAGTAGAACACATGCACCAGGTCTGTCCCCACCATCTGCCCCTCCGCTGTGCACGGGAGTTCTCCGGTGGAGACTGCCCCTGGGTTTGGCAACTGAGGCTCGTGGCTTACCTGTGACCTATGTCACCTACAGGAGCCCTGCTCAATGATGACTATCTCCATTTGATCAAAATCCTGAGCTCGATCAGTCATTCCTGCATGTCCCAGAACACCACAACCACCAGTGGTTTACCTAAGGGGAGCAGTCACTGGGCCGAAGAAGGCAGAGCTCCCTTCCCACACAGGCTTCCTGGGACTGCCCAAGACACCTCTGCTTCGACTCCCGTCCCTGACTGCACCTAGCTGCAAGGCAGGCTGGGAGGTGGTCTCCCCTTGGGGCAGTTGGTGCCCAGTTTAACACTTTTATTATGCTAGAGCAGGAGACGGCTCACTTTTTCCATCAAGAGCCAGAGAGTAAACAGTGTGGACTCAGCAGGTCACATGGTCGCTAGCAGCTGCTCCATTCCAAAGGCCGATGCGCAGATGAGCAGGCAGGGCTGGGTCCCAAGGAAACCCTGTGGGCCCTGAGATGTGAATAGCAGATGATTTTCTTGTGTCATGAAGTGTTATTTTTCAAAAGTTTTGTTTCAACCATTTCAAAATACAGAACCCACCATTGGCTTGGGGCTATACGCAAGCAGGAGGTGGTCAGGTGGGCCCTGGCCCAGAAGGAAGGCTACGGGATGGTGAGAGGGCCAGTGATTTCTGCCACACGTGACCGCTGTGTGCACATGAATTTGGGGGGACTGATGGGTGCCCCTGTCCTTCACGCACTGGGTACTAGGCTAAGGCTGGCTGGTGTCTGCAGGTCTTCGGAGGAGCAGCTCCGTCACGCCTACCACCTGCTGATGACCCAGCTGACCCAGGAGCACGCCGAGGTCCGCCTCTCAGCCTTCCAGGTGGTGGCTGCACTCTTCACCCGGTCGCATCAGTTCAGGTTGCTGGTCGTTTCCAACTTCCAGGAGTTCCTAGAGCTGACGCTGGGCACGGACCATGAACAGCCCCTGCCGCCCCCCAGGGAGGTGGCCCAGAAACTCCGGCGGGCGGCCATCCAGGCTGTGGAGGCCTGGAACGAGAAGTTCGGCGAGGCCTACAAGAAGCTGGCCCTGGGTTACCACTTCTTACGGCACAACAAGCAGGTGGGTGAGCCTGCCAGCACTGGCCTGATGCCCCCTCCCCCCCGGGTCCGGTGGGGAGAAGAGCGGGCTGGGGGCTGGTGCAGGGCCTCCTGTCTGCTGCCTTGGGGTTCCCTGCCTGGAGCGCCCTTCTCCATGCCAGACGTGCGCTATTGGGGAGAATGTTCTAGAAGCAGAAAGGAAATGACCCGCTGGACCGGTTGTGGGAGAGCACAGAGTC